GGTGTTCCTAGTGCTCCTTGGACACGCGAAGTGGTGGTGGCGCCTATGGGCTTGAAAGGGCAGCTGCTCCGTCTCCTCCCCGATCCCTCAGGTTGAGTGCAGGCGAGCGCTAGGCTACAGTACCTATTGGAAAGGGAGGAAGGTAAGGTAGGGAATGCCACAGCCCATAGGGGTTAGGCTGCAGGTTAATGCAGTGAGCGCATATCTACTTACTGTGTACACAGCACCGCTTTGATAACCAAGTCTTGGGTCCCTATAGTCTCCTGGTGAGCAGTGAGCACTCAAAATGAATGCCAGAAACCTGCGCAGGATGTAACGCGATGCAGATGACCCGCCCCCGCCACCAAACGCAGTCATACACCCTACACCCTTCGGCAGGAAACAGGCAAGGAAACCCTTGGCGAGCGCGACTCACGAGCGGGATCGTCTTGGCTGGGACGATCTCGTGGAAGCCACCGCCTCAGGAAATTGAGCGGTGACATGCTTAGGCTTTGGTTCCAGGTTCCTCCCGTAAAATCCAAATTGGAAATCGTGACGGGGGTCTCATCGGTTAAGATTAGTCCCTATACAGACTACTACGTAGAAGACAAAACAGGATGGCTAAGCATCCAAAGATCGACGGTGACGGGAAACTGAAGCTCGAGACTTGAAGGGCTGGATGGGATGGAGCAACTGGGAACCTGGTCGGTACCTTGCCTATTCGCACCTGCCCTGGGAGTGGACCTGTGCTGTGGTGTACTGTGTATCGTGCCTGCCTCACCTCACCTTACCAGGTAAAATAACTACCAGGCACTAAAAGAAGTCGAGGTCCAGCCTGGCGGCTGAGTTAAGAGGTGAGTGCATGCAATGAACCTTGCTTCTTTTCGCGCTTAATACCTCAAAGACAATGCACTAAATATCCTGGGCCAAATAGAGGTGAAATCAAAGACGAATTCACGGATCACCCTACAAAAATACGCTGTCAACTTGCACTATCCGGTGCATTTGGCACAGGAATATGGACGGTCAAACGCAAGGGGAGGAGATCCTGTAACCTGGAAGGAACGGGAACGGGTAACATCGTGTCGTTCGATGCTTCTCCAGAAGCGGAGCCAGCCAGCCCTGTGAGAGACTGGGATGCGACTGCCAGGGCCAGAAAGGTTCCTTACCTGACGCTAGTGGGGGCCCAAGGTGGGGAGGATTCAGATTGGCGGTTAAGCGGTGAGGTGCGGGGCACTGGATGCATGTCAACTTCAACCCAGGAGTGCCAGGTTGCTCGACCACTTCCAGGTTGTTATCTGGGTTGTGTTGCAATAACTAACGCAGACGGGAAGAAGTCGTTTTGTTTGACTCATTGCCGGACGGTGTCCTGCAAGGCATCGGTCCATCTTCTCATCCTCGTGGGGCCCGAGGCTCCTCATCTCCGTCCAAAATCCTGGACAGGCTTTGAAATCAAGCCTTTCCCCAGAGAGCTCCCTCCACCCCCTTCCACCACCACCATCGCCATCGTCATGTTCAACAGCCGCAAGCGCCTCGTCGATGCACTCTCTCACCATCTATCTCCCCTGGCGGGAGCAGGATGGACAGACTCCACTCCCCTCCCGCCTCGCGCTATACACACGGCCAAGACCTGAAGGAATCCTTCCAGATACTTGAACTCCTCCTCGGCCGGGAGGATGGCGTGGCTTTCCATTGGGCCCATAGATCGGGGCCCTCGGGAAGCGGCGAGTTAAATCAGCCGCGGAGCTCTGATGATGAAGCCAGACAGACAGCTACTGTAACCCGTACACCACCAGTGAGGTACCCACCATGCATGGTTCTTTGGCCACGATGCACCCCAACCGGCTGCATACAACACCCTCTGTAGTGAAGCAATGCACGGCTCGTGGTGTACGTGTCCGTGTCCGTGTACTGTGCAACACCAAAGAAAGGGATTTATGCAGGGTCAGGTCCAGTTCCTCCACGCAGCTGCGTCCATCCGTCGCCAGCCGGATTGCCTCGTCATTTCAACACTCCGCTCGACCTCCCGAACGCGGCTCCCCGAATGCCTACGGCGGTATAGCAAAGAGACAGCCCTCCCGTCCACATCGGTTAGATGATTCTGGATCACCAGATCCCCTTGAGCTTTGCCGTTGTCCGACACACTCGCCTTGTCGTTGACCATATCCAGGGCAATCCTATAGCCTGCTCATCAGGCCTCGCCCAATGCCGTGAAACGATGATTCCGCCTGCCCATTGAAGCCGGGCCATTTGATTCGGAGAGGATCCATGAATTTCAGTCCATCATGGCTCTGCTCTGTTGTTCCTCTGTTGATTGTGGTTGCCTAGTTACATCTCTGTAGCATTATGTCCACGACGACGGCTTGCTACCGAGGCCTCAGCCCTGCCAGGCACACGACGTTTACAACTGCGGACGCAGACACGCGCCTCGCTACCGCCTTATCGGCTACCTAAGGACCGTTCCTCATCGGCGGGTAGCTCGATCTGACTCGCCTGCTCGGACTCGGAGTTAAATTTGAAGGGCGCTGCGCCGACCTCCATGGTCACCTTTCAATTCAAACATGAAGCAATACCGCAATCCTTCGGACACATTTCAACACCACTTTGCTTCCAAAGCCCCTTGGGCTTGTGGTCATCTGAAATCCACTGCATATAATGTGAGTGGGCAGCATACGGGCCTCAAGAAACCGGGCAGCGATTTGGGGCCATTCTAAAGAACTCGATCGCCCGATCGGGTTCTATTCAGCCTCTGTGAATCCCGTTTCTGAATCCCTGTCAGTCCACAGGGCAAGCCTAGCCTGTCTAGACATCGTCAGACCCGAGTGCTCCGAAAAGGGGTGCTATACTGCACTTGAGTGTCTCTGCCACCCCCGCCGAGTGGGCTATGGAACTTGTGGTCCTGGCACCGGTTCTTTGCATCCAGCTGGCTACCACGGCGTGGTTCTAGACTGGTATGGATGAGTCTCGCGGTATTTGACAAGAAGATTTCCTTGATCCACCTCGAAGAACGAAAGATGGTGTGGCGGGCTCCTATCCCATGGATCTACTGTCCATGATCTTCAACAAGCGTTGAGAAGATGCTACACAAAATGGAAGCTCCTAAGCAAGGGGATACTGGGCAGACAGATGCCAGCCCCAGTTGCATCACCATTGCGAGGCACTGCCTAGAGTGTTCCTGGAGAAATACCAGAGCCGTCACCCCATAATGCGATTTCCTCGACACACTGGGGAGATCTTGTGGGTCACAGGCCGCGGTTGCACGACTCCTCGAGGAAGACAACAAGACCCTGAACCGCGTGATTCGAGGAGGATGTATGGAATAGGATTGTGGCTACCACGGAGCCATTCGAGAACCCGACACCTTGACATCTGGCCACTGCAGCCTGTGTGTCCAAACAAGGAAGACACACCACACTCAGTCTACAGGAGATACAAAGCATGTACTTGTTTTGCTAGCTTTCAACCTGCACTGAATATGGTTCCTTGGCACGTCTGGTGACTCACTGACTAGTCATTGACATTGTTGTTATCGATAGCATTCTATTCCTGCTTTGCCGTGGTGAGATCTCTATGAACAACTTGTACTAATACTGACAGAGCTAAGGACCTACAACGGGCGACCTAGGAGCAAGCGAGGCATAGCAAACAGCCGCGTTCAACCATCCCGTCGAACCCGTCATGCTCTAGTGTAGGCTCACCCCCCTTGCCCAGCGTACCAAGCCGCGTTTATCCAAAGGCGACCCCTGCCCTTTCATGAAGAAGACTACGTGGACGCTACTACGTACATATCTCGGGAGCGGCAGGCAGGGCACCGTTGAGATGCAGGTGTGGACATGCTCCAAACCAAGCCACTGGGCCCCATGTCGGTGGTGATTCCTCACCATACATCAACGGCCGGCATCCCACTCGTTGTCTGGGAGCGGCCCGGTGTGGTTGGTCGACGTACGGTCAGAACCCAACTCCTTTCTTCCCGCTACTGTGGTAAGAGCTATCAGGGTACACAACCCCGGAGTGGCCTGCCTTGTCCTAGGTACTTATCTCCATCTTTTCCATTGATCCTTGGGCCACGTTTTCGCAAGCTGTTGGACCGCAAGCAGAGCTGGTAGGGCTGGCTGGCTGTATGTATTAGCATCCACATCGGTAATAAACCCTTATTTCCATCCCATGTATAGGATGACGAGGTTTTGTTGGTTGAACACTGGGCACAGTAGGCGCAGCAGGAATCATATGGGTAGACAGGCTGACAACCTACCTACCCCTGAGCTGAACTCCTATTTTGACAACACAGAGACGAGATGCTCTCATGAAGCGAACAGACACGCACAGCCATTGTGCCTCGGCTCGATCTTGGTATCGTCATGATGTTTCCACTCTATTCGTACCATGCACGGTTCCGCAAGCCTTTTCTCCCCAAACCCGTGAAGCAAGGGGTGTTGTCATCTCGTCCGATCTCACAGGTCTCCAAGCCTTAAATCTCCCCGGTTCTTCGAGTTTTAGTCTCCTAGACAGACATGAAGACCGACGGACTAAAAGGAAGAACGCCAGTCTACCGGCAGAGTTTTCTCTTCTTCGGGGGCGTAAACACGCAGCCTCGAGCCATGGCAAAGCCCTACCCCCTTCCCTCCACAGAGACGGAGGTGTATATCTCCACAGGATCAAGTGTCTCCTAAGTCGACACTTATTTCACACCTTCTTCCAAGTAAAGCTACCGCGTAGGCAGAGAGACCCAGCCCATTGCCCACCAAAAACACAAACAACTTTCCTTTCTCAGCACGAATGCATTCACTCACTCACCCACCCTGGATCCACCCATCTACCCACCCACTCAACCCAACCCAACCCACAAATCGTCCCCAATCCAACTACCAGTCCACCATCTCCCAGCTTATCCGTCCGCGAGGGTCCACTCATCTCAGGTAATCTGTGGTCCAGTGAGGTAAGGTCAGGTATATATCCCAGCCCTACCGCCCAGAAACCCAAGCAAACAACAGCTACGGTGGATGCATTCAAACATCCACACTTCTTCCGTAGTATAGTGGTCAGTATATGAGCTTGTCATTGGTTGTCCTGAGTCAATCAGGTACAAATAACTTCGCTCGGGACCTGGGTTCAATTCCCGGCGGGAGAGAAAAGATACAAATACCTTTTGCTTATCCAGAAAAGGTACTGGAATAAACTGGTATTGTTGTTTCTTTTTTTGTGACCAAAATATCATATAATATACCGAGCTTCCGTCGTTTTTTGGCGAACAGGGTTTACTCGGCTCAGTCTCGCAGGTCAAAACTACCTTACCAGGTGTACCAGGAGGTAACAACAGCCTCATCAAACAAGTACATCAGGAAAACCGACACTAGGTTACCGTATGGTGACTTGGTGTTGGACTTTTGAAACAAATGCCAATATAAGCCAATACTGACTGACTTTGAAGAGTCTATAAACCTCGTTGCTGAATTCCATACGGCACTCACATCATCCGTCTGCAGATCCTTGTTGAGAGTAGACTCAACCAGTTGAAGACAAAGATAGAAGCGCCATGGTTAAGTCTGCCTAAGGCAGGCCTCCCAGGTCCTCCGCTACTTGCCTCACCCTCTCCCATCCTTCCTCCCTATGCATCAACATGCAATCCAAACAAACAAACCCACTGCCGACAACGAGACAAACTATACAGCAATCAACATGCATAATCCTCATCAGCACTGACTCACCGGTCCGCCTCGAAACCCATCACAATACAGTCCCCTCTACCCATCACGGCACAAAAAAAGCAAGCAAAAAATAAAATAAAAGAATTCTAAGGGGTGTATTTGGTACAGGTTAGGTGTCCAGTTGTAATCTAATCATCTCTCCCTCTCCCTCCCCCTCCTCAGAGCACCAGCCTACCAGGATCCTTCTCCAAAACAAGCTTAACCCTCTCCAAGAACACCTGAGCCCTCTTCTCCTCCTTCTTAGGCACAAGCACACTAAAGACATTAGGTCCAGTAGTCGACGCGCTGGGACCAGCGGAGGTCACAGGCTTAGGAGTGGCGGTCACACGGCGGGGAGCGGCAAGGATATCAAAGATATCAGCCTTCTTGGTAGGGCGCGAGCCCAGGAACGAGGTGGGCGGCAGCGCAGCGACCTGCGGCGAGTAGGAGCCGCGCGAGCCCTTGGGGCCGACCTTGTCCAGGCCCAGGACCTGGTTGAACAGCTCGTCGGCGGTGGGCTGGGTGCCGGCCGGGAGAGGCAGCTCGTCGTTTGCGAGATCGGTGGCGCGGGCGATGAAGGTTGAGAGCGGAAGGAAGACGCCTAGGGTCTTGTGGATTTTCTTCTGTACTTCCAGGACTGCGGCCAGCGAGATGGGGACTGTTACGCGGGCGTTCTGGGGAGGAGCGGGGGCCGGGGCGGCGGGGGCGGCCTTCTCGGGCTTCTTGGCCTCGGGCGCCTTTGCGACCTTGATGTTGCTTAGGTCGAGATGCGAGGCGTGTTCGAAACGTGACTCTACCTCCGCGGGGGTCTTGGCGTTGATCTGGCCCAGATAGGCGAGCACGTCGCCCTTGAGCAGCCGGCCGCCGGGTCCCGTGGGGGTGATTTCGCTGATGACTGACGAGTCTAGGCCGTTAACCTTGAGCAAGTGGACGACGGACGGGTACAGGGGGTAGGTCTGCTTCGGTGCCTTGATGGTGGACTTGGAGGGCGCCTTCGGGGATGTAGATGCGGGCTCGGCGGGTGTGGGTGCAGCGGCGGCGGTGGAGGCCGGGGCCTTTGTCGGCTCGGGGGCGCTGCTTGCTTGGGCATTGACATCGGCGGGGATCTCGAGGGCGCTGATGTCGTCGCCCTCCTCGGCGATGACGGCTATCCGCATGCCAACCTTGACGCCCTTGCTGCCGTCGCCCTGCATGATCTTCATCATGACTCCGTCCTCCTGGGCCTCGACGTCCATGGTGGCCTTGTCGGTCTCGATCTCCAGCAGCACGTCGCCGGCGCTGAACTTGTCGCCCTCCTTGACCTGCCATGTCGCGATGTTGCCCTCGGTCATTGTCGGGGACAGGGCGGGCATGGTGAAGTTCTGGGCGGCGCGGGCGGCGACCGAGGTCTGGAAGCCTGTAGTTGGTGTGCGGGAAAGCAAGCTGGTCAGCAGCGCGCGCGACTTTTTTTTTTTTTTTTTTCCTTCCCCCGTCGTCGGGGTTTGAGAGGGTTCATCTTGACCAACCTCGGACGGCGGCAACATCCTGACTCAACCTCCTCCCGGCCAGTCTCGACGAGACACGGCAAACTGCTGCAAAGGATGCCATGGCGGAGGTGAGGTGTCGTTTGGATGGCGGAGATGTCGGGGGGGCCGCAATTGGCCTTGGAGGTGCGTGGTTTGGTGGATAGCCCGGAAATCGGAAGTCGGGGAATTGGGACAACTGGGCAAAATCAATTGGAGTCGAGTTGAGCTGTGCTGCTGCTGCTGCTGGCTGGCGAGTTGGAGAATTGGTTGGGAATTCGGAGTCCGCCGCCCGACAAAAAAAGCTTGGGGCGCACTTACACTAACTTCAACCCGTTGGCCAATCCGAACAGGGATCTCAATCCCCAATGGGACTGATCCGCGCTACGGAGTTAAGCTTGTCCCTGTCTCGCTGTCTGTCACTCGCTTTTAGCATGAATTGGAGCTTTCCGCGCCAAGCCATCCAGTCACCTTTTTTTTTTATTTGCTGTCTGTCGGGCTGTCAACTTGTCAAGCCGACGGGAAGCTGCTGGTGAAGAAAGCTAGAGCTCTCCACCGCGATATCCACTTCGTGGTCACAGCATTGGATGCTATCGCGCAAACATTGCGCCGACACCGAACAGCCCAGGCTCGAAATTTACCAGCGTAGTCCCGAGCTTCGGAAGCTCCCGTCACCTTGCTGCTGATCCCTGTCCTGCGATTTGGAATTAGGTCGAGGCCATTGAACCCGCTCACGCACCCGAACCATTAACCGACCGACCGAACAGAACCTCTCCGCCTCCGGACCGAACCATCCAAACCCAAACACAAAAAAACGAACAGCCAGCCCGGATCAACAACAACAACAGCACAATGGCGCCCCTACCCACCCACCTAGGGCCCCGCCTCCTCCTGCTGGTGCAGCGCGCACCATGCAGATGCGCATCAACATCCCCATTATCACCATCATCAAACTCCCAAATAACCCTCACGCGCTCCTCCACGCGCCGCCTCATCCAAACCACACCCCGCCGCGCCGCCGCCGGCCCTCTGCCAAAAACCAAACCCAAACCCCCAAAATCCAAACCCCCCATCCCCAGCGGTAGCACCCTCCCGCCCTCCTACGCCTCCCAACTCGCCACAAAGGGCCGCACGCTCCTCTACGAAGCCCCCTCGCACATCTGGTACCGCGCCGCCAGCTTCACCAGCGGCGCCTTCTGCGTCTCCTACACCGTCTACCAGTACTGGTCGATCTACCTGCACCCGCCCGAGGGCCTGTCCAGCTGGGTCCCGCACGCCTTTGGTGTAATCTGCCTCTTCATGGGCAGCATGGGCGCGTATTTCGTCCTCGGCACGCGGCGCATAATCCACCGTATCGAAGCTGTCCCTGCTACACTGTCGAAAATCCCCCCCAAGGGCGCAAACCACCCGCTGTACATCGAAGTAACCTCCTCACGTGTGATCCCGTTCCTCCCTGCAAAGCGAACAACCTACCTACCAGAGGACGTGGTGATGCCGTTCCGGATGCACGGGGTCCTAAGCACTGCAAGGGGTAAACCAACCTCGCAGCTGGCAGCCCTCAAAGCGCAGGTGGCCGAGCGCGCCGAGAAGCAGGCACGGATCAAGGCGCGGCAGGAGGAGCTCATGAACCACCGCATGACGGTGCCCTTCCGGGACATGGGCAAGGCGATGGGGACCATATACGGTGGCATCACGCGCGCGTTTAACAGGGAGGGGTTCGCCAAGATCAAGCTCAAGGGGCAGGAGTACAAGCTTGATGTGTCGGGCGGGTGGGCGCTGGATGATGGGCGGGCGATGGATCGGTTGCTTTTGTTGAGGCCGAATGCGATGAAGTCGTAAAGCTGTGGTCGGATTGCCACGGGTGCTGTATAATTACCTAACTGGATATATATGTATACGCATGTGTGTGTGTGTGTACCATCAACATTGTTCAATCCCATAACTGCCCAATCTTTGGGACTGGTCTGTTCTTTCACGATTATGTTTGGTTGGCTGCCCCTATTCAAAGCACATCAGAACTTGGAAGTCGGCCCCGCTCAGAAATTGATCCGGAGCAAGCAGTTCACCAATAATGAATGACACCACGAACTTCTAGGTATGAGACGCAATCAACGTAACGAAAATCTTGGCTAATAACTAAAAGCAAACAGCCGCCAGGTCCATGCGAGAACATCGCAGCCCCAACCTGAACCAAACGCTACCTACCTACCTAACATAAGTACAGGTATATGCCGCGTGAAAACCGGGCAGTTATGCAGACAGCCGACGTCAACGCCACAGAAAGTCCCATCTATGTCTAGAATAACATAGCATAGCTGACCTCTCCCGTCCAGTCTTTGTTTAGTTAAGATCAAGCACGCAATAGCGGCCCGGCTTGACCACCATCATTGCCGTCAACGTCGAGGGTGATCTCCTCGTCCTCCTCCCAGTCCTCCCAGCCAGGCGCATCGAAACCATTCGGCCTCGCCGCCCGCACATGTCCGATCCGTAGCCCGCTCACTCTGATGGCCTCGCGAGGCCAAGTCAGGTCGGCTCCGAATCCCGTGCTCCAGGCTGTATGCATCATCTCGTCCTTGAACAGATGCGGCGCCACACGTTTCATACTCAACAGCGCCCGTCGGCCCACCTCGTCGACCGAATCATTGTGTCGGAGCTCGAAGAAGTCGGCATCATGCACCTGGCGCAGCCGCTCTTGCTCTTCCGCTGGCAGGGGACCCAGGCTCATCACGAAGACGTCATATTGACAGAGGCTGGTGCGGCAGATCCATGAGCCGCCCTGGGTTGCTCGCCGATACAGCCCTGCCATAGCCGCGACGGCGCCCAGAGCGCCGGTTCCGTAGTCGGACATAGGGAACGGCGGTACAACAGGTTCCGTCAGACCCATGAATTTCCCTTGTGCCCACGCCACCCCGGTTACACAGTCGGCAATCTGCTGCCATCCC